AAAACTATCAGTTTTTACCAAAAATGACAAAAATATTCACCAAAATTAGAGAATTAAAGATATCAACATGAAATGAACAAACCTAAGAGAGGTATACCCAAGGTACATATACACCAAGTATCAAAGCATTTAGGCTTGTAGTTTTCAAGAAGAAGTCGAAAAAGTAAAACATTGACACGGACGACGACGACGGACGACGACGACGGACAATCACTCATATGATAAGCTCCGCTCGACAAAGTCAACAGCGGAGCTAAAAACTATGATGCAACACGGGCAAAACTGTAAAATGAAAACATATTTATGGTTAATAGACTCCATCTCCTAGTAGTGATTTCTATTAAAAATTGTAGTGCAAACATTTCCTCCAAGGTATTAAACACTACACTGTACTGTGAATTACTTTATTTTAGGGGTTGACCATTATAAACTGTAGGAGGGGGTAGACACACACTTAATAGAGGAAATCAAAAACAAAATCAAATCTAGAAGTGAGGGGGGAAAAATACCATGTAGTACTGAGTTTCTAATGGTCAACCTTTCAGTTGGAATTTCATTTTGCAATACAACAAAACATAATGAGTGGACATAAATAACTTAGTTTTACTGATTCAGCAAGAACTCCAAGCAAAAAGGTATTCAAGTTTATGACAATTCTATCCAGCTGTCACATGGTAAAGAACAATAAATACTCACAGAGAAAATGTCTTAAGTCCTAATATTGGTACTCTGATGTCACTTTCTTCTAATTCCACTCCTATTCTCCGTTTATCCAAGTATTTTAATAATCCACCTGTAGCACGCACCTATAATTATACAGATAAATGTTTTAATTCACAACTTGCATTTTGTAGTCTCACATCAGACCACTCAAAACTGAAAATGAGTTCTAGGTTTATTATGTTGACTAGGTATGTGCAGCTTTTAAATTTTCACTACCAGACTTTCTCACCCAAATTTTTCTGACCTTTTTTCATATATTCTTCAATATTTCTGGAAAAGAACCCTAATTTTGGAGCCAACAGTAAATTTCCTGTTTTTCGCTCAAAAAATTTGGCCATTTTTGTCCAAATCTTCTGAAGGAAAGTGCAGACTATAAATGGAACTATTTTGTGATAAAAAAGGGAACTGGCGGTGAAAAGGTTAACAATGACAACAAATAATTGAGAAACATAATTTGGCAATTTTTGATTATTTTTGAAAATAAAAATACTTGAATATTCACTGCTTCTAGAGTACCGTACATTGACTCCGATGTAAAAGTCCTGTATGTACTGAATGTGCTCTCATGGTACCTCATAGGCTTGTGTACATGACAGAGCTGGGCTGGCCCTCACCAGTTGCCAATGGTGAATTTAGATTAGGCAACAATAAATTGTGTCACTTTCCCCACCATTGGTCACCAGTAAAAGTTATTTCAAACAATGGATTATTCAGATAGAATGGTCATCAATTAAAAGCATGTCATTACTGGCTAAAATGTGTATGTTACAGTATGCTGGACTGTTTGGAATGAATTTGCCATTCTACTAATGGTACAAGAAAACACTGTGGCAGTACCTACCATATTGACATGTTCAAATGGGACGAGTGATGTTAGATAAATGGTCCTTTCGCTTTCTGTATAGTCTTCTGGTATACATGGTAAACTGACATTCAAAATACGACGTTTGCTCACTTCCAGTGCTGTAATATATATACCGGGGTAGTGTATCATTAATCGACATAGCATTTGCATTAGTAACATAAACAATACAAATGAAAAAGTAAATTACAAAAAAAATTCCTATACTGTTTTGGGCTAAGAATTTTTATGATGAAGATCCCACAAGAACTGATTAAGATCCCACAAGAACTGATTAAGATCCCACAAGAACTGATTAAGATCCCACAAGAACTGATTAAGATCCCACAAGAACTGATTAAGATCCCACAAGAACTGATTAAGATCCCACAAGAACTGATTAAGATCCCACAAGAACTGATTAAGATCCCACAAGAACTGATTAAGATCCCACAAGAACTGATTAAGATCCCACAAGAACTGATTAAGATCCCACAAGAACTGATTAAGATCCCACAAGAACTGATTAAGATCCCACAAGAACTGATTAAGATCCCACAAGAACTGATTAAGATCCCACAAGAACTGAGGAAGTCGCGTGAACTGCAAGATGATCACAAAATTAAAAGACTAACCTATATTTATAGAAATCCTAATGCAAATTAGTGAGTCTGTGAAAGAACTGATTAGTGTTCATCTCAAAAAATATTTGATAGTGCCCTTGGACATTCACAAAGTGTGTACGGTAATATGGGTTGTTTTTAATGCTTTATAATCTTTGCATTTTGACTCGCATTTTATGTTACCATCAATCAATGCGAATGGGAAGGAATTTCTTTCGAATGTTGACAAAACCCGAGCGTTCGCTTCTCGAAAGATCTTCATCGCTTATCAATGTACATAATTATGAAAGTTGCTTATGCATTGTTCCCTACCCAAGTGAATTATAAACAAAATATTGTGAAAATGAATATCCAAATCAATAAAATACTATAACAATACAAAAGTTTTTAATCACAATCTAATGGCAGCGTATAACCAAACTAAGTGACTAAGTAAGAGGGCGCTATACTTCAAGTTATTGGCACTTGTCAGCTTAAGGTAGCGGGACTATTATTTGCATACTTGTTTTCATCTTCTAATTGTGACTAAATGACTACAAATAAACCCGGGAAAGTATATATTTTTAGAATCGCCAGACTTCAAGCTTTTCACAAGTGTATTTTGCATGCCCGTATCTGCAATCTACGACGCGTTACTCAATCAAAGGTGAAAAATTACTTTTTCTGTAAAAAAAATAATTACGCATTTATGCTGGCGATAAGAAGTATTTTTTTCACTTTTCCTAGTTGTTCAATAGTCTGGTAAATTGAATGTGTCTGGTTAGTTTTATTCAAGCAACGCGTTTTAAAAAATAGTGTCCTGAATTTCAATTACTGTTTTAGTCGCATTGCCCCCAACTCAAACCACAACTCGTTGGTAAATAATCGATGAAATAGTTTGTCTGGACACATTCAAGTTCCTCTCATTGTCACCTTAAAGCTGTGAAAATTTGGTGTTAATCCGACGACAATAAGTATACGTTATTTTTTGTTAAAGACCTTGTATTTTG